TCGAGGCCCTGGGTTCGATTCCTCAGCACCACATAAGCAAAAAGAAAAAAGCCGGAAGTGGCGCTGTGGCTCAAGTGGTAGAGCGCTGGCCTTGAGCTGAAGAGCTGAGGGACAGCGCCCAGGCCCAGAGTTCAGGCCCCACGACTGGACCCAAAAAAAAATAAAAAAAAAAGAATGAGGAATGACTTCGGTTCAAAGCCAGCCAGGACAGGAAAGCCCATGAGACTCTTACCTCCAATTAATCACCAGAAAACCAGAAGTAGTGCTGTGGCTCAAAATGGTAGAAAGCTAGCAAGCTTTGAGCAAAAAGAGCTCAGTGATAACATCCAGGCCCTGAGCTCAAGCTCCCCCCCCCCCCACGACAAAAAATGAGAAAATACGGACATAACAATCTTATAGGAAACAAAAAGGAAGCCCAAAAATGAAAAGGCCATTTTTGCCCAATATTGGTGCCTCACACCTATAATCCTAGCTACTCAGGAGACTGAGATCTGAAGATTACAGTTTGAAGTCAGCTCAGGCAGAAAAACAGGCAAGTCTGTGAGACTCCTATCTCCAACTAACCACCAAAAAGTTGAAAGTAGAGTGTGGTTCAAGTGGTAGAGCACCAGGCTTGAGAAAAAAAAGCTCAGGGACAGTACCCAGGCCCTGAGTGCAGTACAAACACACAGACACAGACACACACACACACACAGAGCTATCTTCAAGGACTCCAACTCTCACACAAGGTCAAGCTCTGTAAGAGCAAGGTGAGATGGCTGAGGTGCCGTCTTCCTTGGTATGACTATACACGTTGCTCTACTTCTGTCTGATTTCTCTTCCAAAAATTTTTCCTATTACCTTTACTATGCTCACTTGTCTTGCCTGAATCCTTCTCTTGCCAGACAAAAGGTCAATTAGTTGTCCTAAATTTCTGGTAATAAATTTAGTGCCTTGGCCAGGAAGTTACGGATTAAGTATGCCTTTTTCTGATTTATTAATAAGACCCCATCTCAAAAAATAAACTGGGGGGCTGGGAAGGTGGCTCAGTGGTAGGTAGAGCGCTTGCCTTACATGCATGAGGCCCTGGGTTCAATTCCTCAGCACCACATAAGCAGAAAAAGCCAGAAGTAGAGCTGTGGCTCAAGTGGTAGAGCGCTAGCCTTGAGCTGAAGAGCTAAGGGACAGTGCCCAGGCCCACAGTTCAGGCTCCACGACCGACAAAAATAAATAAATAAATAAAAACTAACTAACAAACTAGGCATTGTGGTTCACACAGCGACATGGAGTTAGAATATTCAAAGTCTGAGCAGGTTTGTTTTATCTTCTGGAGAACAGATAGGCAATTACACATGATTTGAACTATAATGGTAACTTGGGCTGGAATGTAGCTCAGTAGCAAAGTGCTTACCTAGCAAGTACAATGCCCTGGGTTCTATTCCCAGTACCAAAAAAAAGAAAATACCCCTCCAAAAAATTAAGGTTACAATAGTAATTTGATCAAGAAAAAAGTCCTACATTCCAATAAAGATAAACTTAGAAATGACAAAAATATTTCCATCCTCTGAACTCTCTCAATTTAATTTCAAGCTGTGTTAGAAAATGCATGCATTGTGGAGCTGAGATGCATGTGGGTTAGTGCCTTGATTCTGACTGTGTGATCGTGGGCAATTTTCCAAATAATATGACATATATAAAATGCCCTCAGGCCAAACATGGTAGCATTTGCCTATAAACTTAGCACTCAAGAGGCCAAGGCAGGAGAATCCAGATTGGCAATCAGGACCAGTCTGGGCAATTTAGTGAGATACTGTCTCCAAACACAACTAATTAAAAAAGTAATTAATTAAAAAAATAACAAAAAGCACTCTGTAGCTGGGCACAGGTGGCTCATGCCTGTAATTCCAGCTACTTTACTCAGGAGGCTGAGATCTGAGACTCACAGTTTGAAGCTAGCCTGGACAGGAAAAGTCTGAGAGACCAAAAAAAAAAAAAAAAAAGCCCTC